CTAATCAAATGGAGTGACACGAGGTTTGGGCACTCTAGAATCTTGGAAGATCTTCCAGATGACTTTAGGCGCCTGGACTACACAGTCCCGTCTACGGGACTAAAGAATTATTTCCAGACAAGGATCCCCTCAAGGGAAGAATGGGAGGAGGATTCGGTCCTGATATCGTATTCTGACTCAACAGCCATCTAAACTGATGGCTCCAAGTTGAATCTGAAGGTAGGAAGTGGGGTATACTCGCAAGAACTCTCACTTAGCCTCAGTTTTCGTCTGCCAGATCTATGCAGCGTTTTTCGGGCTGAACTAACAGCAATAAATGAAGCTGCAAGTTGGCTTATCGATTCTCTAATTAATCTGAAGGCGGTAACAATCTTATCTGACAGCTAAGCGGCTATTAAAGCACTTAATAGTGACAAATCTACGTCGAAGGTTGTTATGGAATGTAGACGTACTCTTAATGAACTGGCAAGGTGTTACGTCACTAATGTTGTGTGGGTGCCAGGCCACAAAGACATACCAGGAAACTGTACTGCAGATGAACTAGCAAGGAAAGGAACCTTGTTGCCTGCAATCAGTACAGCCCGTAATGCGGGCATTCCGCTATCTTCTCTCTGCAAGCTCTGGCTTGAGAATAACTTTGTCGGACGGGCTAATATAAGATGGTCTGCGGAGCCTACTTGCAGGATAGCAAGACATATCTGGCCTTAGCTTGACAAGCGTAGATCTCGCCCTCTTCTCCACTTGGAGCGACCACTGTTGCGGCATGTTATTGCAGTCCTCAGTGGGCATTGCCTGATGGGAATCCACGCCACTAGAATGGGTTTGCAGTCAAACGACTACTGTCGTAGCTGCCGCGATGAGGAGGAAATCGAAAGCGTGGAGCACTACTGCTGCTCTGGCGAGAGCTCGTCGATGTTCGTTCCTCCATTATTCTTTTGAATGTCTGGCCGAACTGGATTCAGCCAGTGTCTATGACTTTGTGCGCTTCATCAGAGCTACGAAGTGGTTCCACTACTAGGGTAAGAGGAGGGACATATGGAGTCTCTTATACGGCATCACAACGGGCCCTTGGTGGCCTAAGTGTGCCCTTTTCCTGAGGGATTAGGGCAGCCGAGTTAACCTAACCTAACCTTTATCCTTTATTTCTTAAACTGTCCTTTAAATCGGCTTTGCAATTTTCAGAGGTAAATTTTTAAACTCAGAATATGAAAAATAAAAATGTCCCTTATAAAATATAATGATAACTTTCGCCAGTTTGTTTCGCACCCCACTTAAGGGTTTCTATTTAATCGGTAATCTTTGTACAATCTATAAAGCACAGGGAAAGTTGAGCCCAGGATCGTGTTGCACGCTGAGTTTCCAGTTCCACTGAAAGAGAACAATAAACCCCCTGCTGCACAGTGGTTCAAAACTGGCATTCATTCACTTCATTTTTCGCTTAATTTGATTAATTGTTATTTTTTATGAAAGCTTACAATATTTGCAAGAGACCAGTTGAGCCTGATTTCTGAATTTTAATTTGATTATATTCAATTTTTGAGTGCAAAATGCACAAAAAGTAGCAGCTTTGACGAAAATGTATTCTTCTGTTCCAGTTAATAAATGTTACATAACCAAAGCTAGTTGAAAATAATTGTATGGTTCTCCCAAAACAAAAAAATACACAAAACAATTTTGAAATGTTATAAAAAAATTTTCACCAAAATAAATATTTTTTTTTGGTTTTTAGTAAAAATTGGTAGAAAAATGAAGGCTCCAGTGGTTTATGAACATTGAGTTCGAATTTTGAACCACTATGTGCTGGCTTCGCCGTGCAGTATGAATTATGGTAAACGCATTTTGGTAGCAAAGGATGGCGAANTTGAAATGTTATAATAAATGTTCACCAAAATAAATATTTTTTTTTGGTTTTTAGTAAAAATTGGTAGAAAAATGAAGGCTCCAGTGGTTTATGAACATTGAGTTCGAATTTTGAACCACTATGTGCTGGCTTCGCCGTGCAGTATGAATTATGGTAAACGCATTTTGGTAGCAAAGGATGGCGAAGTCCTTGAGAAGGATTTGGCTTCATTTTTCGCTACAGCAGGGGAACTTATACAATTAAATAATATAATTAAATGGTAAATATTTGACTTAAATTACGATATGGACAAGGTACTTTTGTCATACAAGTTGTATGTACGTATTTCCAAATCATTTTGAAAAAAATGTTCTCCATTTTACGTTGGTTAATATGGTCACCGTATGTATACTGCTTCATATTCGTAAACAAACTATGATCTGCACACATATGGAAAGTTGCCACGCTGTCAACGCACCAAATGTTTGCGTTTACACACGGTTCATTTGTTGAAAAAAACAGCCATCGATCTCTGCTTGGCTTTATCTTTACATTGTGAAGCGTAGTGGCCTTTTTTACCACAATTAAAGCACTTTATGTTTTTGCTTTTGTCGCTGCTGTTGTCACTTGGTGTTTTTGCTGCTCTTTCGTCGTCTTGTTAGTTGCTTTTGCTAGCTTTACTGGAATTTGACTTCTTATTAGAAGCTTCGCGAGCGCTGAATGCTTGAGTACTCTCATTGTTACTGCTCTCAATTTTTCGCCGCTCCTCTTCTTCTGCCAATTTGATTTTAAGCGAATTAAATTATGGCAACTCGTCTCTTGTTTCAAGCGCTACAACAAAGCTCTCGAAACTTTTTGGCAAACTAGCGAGCATCATAATAACGAGTAACTCTTCTTCCAACGTGATTCCGACGTCAGCGAGCCCATCTACCGTCTTGGAAAAACTTTGTACATGTTGCTGCACATTTTCCCCTTCACCCAAACGTAAATTTAAGAGTCTTTTAAATAGTGTAATCTTTCTTACTGGGCCTGTTGACTGATGTAACTCTTTCAACGCATTCCAAACGTCCACAGCATGCTCCAGCTTCTTAACGTCGTTTAGGTTAGCAGGTTTTACACACAAAAATATTGTCGCTACAGCCTTTGCATCTTTTGTTGTCCACTCCAACACATTCTGCTCGGACTTGACGTATTCACCTGAAGTGACTGCCCACAAATCCTGATGCACAAGGACGCTGCGCATTTGCAGACACCAAGTGTCATAATTATTCGAATCCAACTTATCTATTGTGAAATTCATTTTTTCGGCTTGGGCCAATAACCTATGTTGGGATCTCCGACATTGAACCTTAACGTCAGTGGTTTTTCACAATAGAAAACAAATTCTCATACACGATGTGTTAACTCAGCAAAAGTTTTATTTGAAACAATGTATGTATGTATAACCAAATTTATAAAACTAGGTACATACAATTCAATTTCAGTAGTTGGTATGCGTGTATAATATAAGTGTTGTCATATGTAAGACTTTCAACAGTCCTCCTCAATACTTATATTAAAGTCTTTTGAAAGAATATAAAACTTTGTTTACAAATTTAATTTAATCCTAAGAGCTCTGTGAATTTACAATGTTTTGCCTTCTGTAAATTTTTAGTTAAAATATCTGCTCTCATATCATTAGTAGGACAATAATTCAAATCGATTTGATGCGTACGATATATGTACATTTCGAATAAAATTATATTTTATATCTATGTGTTTACTGCGACCATGATAAACAGGATTTTTGACCAAGTTTATCGCGCTCATGTTATCACTGTTTATCATGATCGGACCGCCTTTATCAAACAATTTTAATTCTAGCCATAATTTTCTAAGGTATATGGATTCCTTGGTGTTGCCATATGTAAGACTTTCAACAGAAAAAAAATTGCTAAAAACGAAAGAAGACATCAAAAATTCTCAGAATTTTTAAATTAATTGGTAGAGAGAGGGAAGATCCCGTCACAATAACGGATGTCCATATCCTAATGAGAAGATAATTGAAGAATTTTTTTGGTTTAATATAGTAAGGTTAATAAAGAAGATGATAAAACAGAAAACTCTTTTCGTAGGTTGTGTTATAATGATTTTCGGCTGACCAAAATTTTTTCGTGTCCATTCTTTATGTAATAATAGGTGTGCAACATTTGACTATTTTTCATTTGTTGATTTAATGTTCATAAATTTTTTATAAAAGTATACCTCATTACACCGCGACAGTCAATTTTACACACGAAAAAATCAATATATTCACAAATCTCTGACGTCAGGATTTTTTTGAAGTTTCTAGAATATGATTGAATAAAAAATTATTCAAAAGATTCGGTGCATCGTAGAATAACTATATGGGTATCAATTAAAAGGAAAAATTCTATAGAACAGAAAATATATATTATATATATGTATATATATATTGAATATCCTTCGAAATTTACAATATTTATTTTTGAAAAAAATATATGTCATGGACTAATATGTTAACTACCACATCTTCGAATTTCGTCCTTCTAACTTTATTAGTTTTAGATAAAATAAAAAAAATGCGTGTGTAACACCATACACATGATAGAAGTGAAACTTCTTAAAAAAGTTGTGAGTACCAGGTACCTACTCACGAAATTGGATGTGTAAACATGTTTACGGTTCGGCAACCATTAGTTAGTTACATACATATTTTTGGTTAGAAATAAAACAATAATTTCATTTCATCTTATTAATTTTCTGATATACATATATATAATTTATTTATTAATTTTCCGGTAACACCACATTATATGAATTCGCGCTTCTAGCATCCATGGGACCGGGTTGTAATGGAAGTAATTGTATGTTTAACAAATAAATGAAAATGTATATAATGCAATCAATAGATCCTTACGAATTTGCCATTACCAAGGCACTAAGTAACGTACGTACTTTTGTTTGTAAAAAGCATTTATATAAGTTGAAAGAAGACAAATTCCTTTGTTCGGCATTTATTCTTACTCACTTTCTATCTTCCAAGGCGAATTCATATATTCTTATCACGAATTCATATATTCATGTGGTAGCAAGAGTATAAAAACATAAAATTACCTTATAAATTAAAAGCATAAGTATCACATGTATGCGTAGTCTAATTCACGAAATCATTTCACCAATCTGCGTAAAAGCCAAGTGCATAAACTGGATTTCGCGTTAATTGTAATCATGAAATGGTGTTCATTCATTCAGTTTCTACTCAAACGCATGAAATGATTTCATGAATTGGCCTACGCATAATGGTAGTAAATGACAGAGTAAATTACAACAAACACTTCCCTTTGACATAATACAAGCAAAACAACACCAAGTTGAACCAACGTTCGCTACGTTTATGGCTTTCTTTAAGAATCATCGGGCGAAAATTTCAACTGCTCCTGTAACACTACCTTATATAAGTTGGCCTTGCTATCATCCTAACATATGTTCATCAGAGTATACCAACGAAGGACGAGTTAGTACAAGGAGATAGCGAGAGCACAAAACTGCTCTAGAACATTACACGCACAATGACAAACATGAACAAATGTACAACAAACACACAATTTTTGACAATCAGTATAATTCGCATTTATATCAACGAGCAGCTTATTAGATTTGTTTCCGTTTGTACTACATATGTGCATATATACATGTACACAAACATATGTACATACGTACCCATATATATAGAACCATTCAAACATATGTACATACATGAAAACATTGCTGCCCATAAGTACATACATATGCCCATCAGTACATCAACGAAGCCCGTCGTTTATACATTTGTATATTGCTTGGTAGCGGCAGAGCTGAAATGCGCAATGAGTTCGTTCATACATACATATATATATGTATACATACATACGTACATTCAAACATACATATATAGGTACTCGTACCCGTCATGCATCGCTTTATTTCTTTTTTCCCCTTCTCTATACTACCTGTATCTTCACTCATGTAACGTTTTCAGTTTTAACAAGTAAGAAAGTCTAAGTTCGGGCGGAGCCGAACATTAAATACCCGGCGCAAGTATTAAATATATGTTTTTTCACCCTTCCGAAACCTTCCGCTAGTTGGTAAGCCGAGGTGTATCAATTTTNCATTTTTGCGATACCGCCGCCTAAGGGTCAAAACATAGTGGAGCGGCGAGCAAGCGAGCAAAGCTTCAATTTCAAACGTGTGTGTACGCTTTTCTCTTCACTATGCGCTTTCCCATTGAAACATATGCATTTGAAATCGACGCTTTGCTCGATGCTCTTTGCTCGCCGCTCTACTATGTTCTTACCCTAAGAAGTTTCCCTTCAAAAAAAATTTATACTTCTCTTTATAAGATATTGATAGTTACAATATACATAAATGAAGATACTGGAATCATTATTATGGAACCATGTATGCACTCTAAAAGAACAAACTGACCATATGATGTATGGTTTAAATATTTTAATTGTTTTCTATACGTGGGCGTAGCCAGCCTTTCACCTAGGGGGCACGAGTTATATAGAGGGAAAAAATGTTTGTAAATATTTTTTTTTTTGTGTATGTAAATAGAAATTTTAGGGTTTAAGAAAGTATAAGTTTCTGGTGTCCTTTACAACGATAACAATTTTTTAAAAATTGGTTTGTATATCTTTTGTTTAAAATATTTTTTTTTTTACAAAAAGGGTATTTTTTGCTTTTAAGTGTTTTTTCTCAAATTTTTATATACGAAGTATACAAATATGCATACCAGAAGAAAAGAGGTCTAACTGCCTTTACAACGACACCAAATTTTTAAAAATCGGATTTAAATTTTTTGCTAATGATTTTTTTTTAAAAAAGGTATTATTTCTTTTCAAGTGTTTTTTTTTTAATTTCTATATACGATGTATACAAATACGCATATAAGAATTTAGATGGTTTGATTCCGTTTATAACGAGATCCATTTTTTAAAAATCGGTTAATAATTTTTTAATACATACGAAGTATACAAATATGCATATCAGAAGAAAGGGGGTTTAATTACGCTTACAACGAAACCAATTTTTTAAAATCAGTTGAAATTTCTTTGAAATATAAATCTTTTAATTTTTCGAAGACCCGACTTTGGACCCCTTATAGCATCTGTAATATAAGTTTGCAGAAAAAAAGTTATATACCATTTAAATAAGAGCAAAAGGCGGCCTACGTCTTATTTTTAGTTTTTTACATATAATATTAAAAATAATAAGCCTACAAGTGCTGGTGTGATCTATTATTTAATGGTGCAAATAAAACACTTATTCCACCTTCGTTGCTCAACGTTTCGCTGAAATTTCCAGTATCATCAGGGGCCACTATGTTTATTAAATCCAACAAAGAAATACAACGAAAAAACAAAAGATGTTCAAATGAATAATAAAAGTTGGCATACATGTGTTTGTAAAAACAAAGACAACAATTATGGACTAATACAAAGAACATATACTCACAATAATATTAAACATTTACTTTAAACTTAATATTAATACATATACACATAATCAGTACCACTCTTTATGGTAGTCTTGTCATTACTAAATTGTTTATTTTGATATGCATAACATGTAGGCGGCCGCGATGTTGTCCGTATCTTCTTTTTTGTTGATCGTATTCTCCCTTTTTTCTAATATTCTTAAGCTTTCCAAAGTGTATCTCGTCATTTCCCTCTTTTCCTTGTCAATAATCCTAGTGTTAGTGAAATCAGCTGTGTGGCCGCTGTTTAATATGTGCTGTGATAGGGCTGTGCTGTGTTTTTGTTTCCTTATATCTGTTTGATGTTCGGCTATGCGAACACCTAATGTGCGTTTTGTTGTCCCTATGTACACTTTACCACAGTTTTCGTTCTCTTTGCCCTTACATTTTATTTCATAAACAACGTTGTTTTGTTGCTGTATGTCTAGTGGGCTTTTTGTTCTTGTGTAGATTCTAGCTAACGTGTTATTTGTTTTGTAGGCGAGAGTTATGTTTTGTTCCTTTAATGTGCTGTGATCAAAGTTTTCGCTTAGCTTGGGGATGTAAGTGACGCTGTAGTACTTTTTTGGTGTATTTGCTGTTGCTGTGGTCGGCGTTTTATTTTGCTGATTTCCTATTCGCATTGTTTCTTGTTTTATTAGTTCGCGTATCAGGTGATTGGGATAGATGTTGCTTTTCAAAATGCTGTGTATTTTGTCTATGTTGGCTTCGTGAAATTTTTGGTCGCTTATCGTCAGTATTTTGTGTATAAGATTTTTCGCGGTGTTGATTTTATATTTTCTTGGTTGGGAGGAGAGATAATTGATCAGGCGTCCAGACGACGTTGGTTTCGAGTACCAGTTTAGAACAATATTGTTGTTGTTTTTGTGTATACGGACATCAAGGAAAGGTATGCTCGCGTTTTCTTCCATTTCCATGGTAAACTGAAGTTTTGGGTGGTATTTGTTTAGCGTCTCTAGAATTGTATTCACGTCGTTGCGGTTTGTTATTGCAAAAATATCGTCTACATATTTGTTGATAAACTTGATGTCAATGTTGAAGTGTTGTTTCAGCTCCGAGATGGTGTTGTCCAGAAGGTCGTCCATAATGATGTCGGCAATTGTCGGTGAGAGGGGGTTGCCCATTGGCATTCCAAATGTTTGGGTGTATAGTTTGTTATTGCACATGAAGTAGTTATTATCTTTAAGGCAGAAGTCAAGAATTTGTTGGAATTTGTGTTTTGGAATGCTGGTTGTCCGTTGTATCTGGTCCCACTTTTTCATAATAATTTTTGTGGCTAACATTGTCGGTATATTCGTAAACAAGGAGATGACATCGAACGACACTAAAACATCTTCATCACATACACTTATATTCGTTAATCTCTCTTTCAAATTAAACGCATTCTTCACATTGTATCTCTCTGAAATCAATGGCTTGAGTATTTCTCCGACATATTTGGATAACTTGTAACAGGGGACCATGACTGACGAAGCAATGGGGCGTAAAGGAACTTGCGGTTTGTGAATTTTCGGCAGGCCATATAGCCTTGGCGCTGCAGCTGCGGTGCTGGTGAGAAGCTGCTTTTCCCTTTTGTTTATGTGTTTTGTATGTGTTTTTGTCTTCTAGTAATTTGTTTATCTTTTCAATGTATTCCGATTCGTACATTGCTACTGTCTTATTGCCCTTGTCAGCATCTGTTATAACAATGTTTTTGTGGGATCTCAGAAACGCTTTTGTTTGGTTAAATGCAGCTAAAATGAATTTTTCGGCATGTATTAATATTAAGTTTAAAGTAAATGTTTAATATTATTGTGAGTATATGTTCTTTGTATTAGTCCATAATTGTTGTCTTTGTTTTTACAAACACATGTATGCCAACTTTTATTATTCATTTGAACATCTTTTGTTTTTTCGTTGTATTTCTTTGTTGGATTTAATAAACATAGTGGCCCCTGATGATGCTGGAAATTTCAGCGAAACGTTGGGCAACGAAGGTGGAATAAGTGTTTTATTTGCACCATTAAATAATAGATCACACCAGCCTACAAGTGTACCAAAAATATATTCTACAAAGTGATCGCTACAAAAACCAAAAAAATAATAATTTTTTACCAAAGGTCCTACTTCGAACTTCAAAGGCCCATACACTGAGAAAAAAAACCCGTTTTAAAAATGAAAATTTTTTATTTGATTACCGTTTAAAAATGTTCGTATTTAAATCAAGTGAAAAGGGTTAACAAAATGGATTTTTTCATTTTACATATGTACATACACTACGTATAATGGAAATATTCAATTCAAATACGCCCGTATTAAAAAGAAGTATTTTTCACTGCACGGATAGCGTTTTGCACGTCTCGGATGCTTTTTCACATGTAATTAAGAAAGTATATGTATACAAAGCATGCACAGCGGTGACAACACATACACACATACACACATACGTGTTATGTCATAATCCACCAATCGCGCGCTGTGATGTTGATTCAAACTCAACATTTGAAAACACATTTACATGTATGGCTGTAGCTGAGTGTGGAAAGACGCCCTGCAAAAATTTGAGGACCAGGTGGTCCACTGGGTCGTGGTTTTAATGTATGTGCAAAAGGACCAGGCTTCATACTAGTAACTTGTTATGCTGACCTGAACCTCTTTAAACGTAAAAAACGGATATATGTGTTGAACACCATCTCTTCGTGGCCCATCGGCAATATGATTCGGTTGCCGAATGTGCCTTGGTCAAAAAGGAGTAGTTGTCTAGGTGGTCCCATGTTATGCAGCGTTGGACCAGAGGTGGTCAGGCCCAATGTTATCGCAATGTTATTGTAACCATGTTTTCTCCATATATTTGGACCATTTTGGTTACTAGTGTTGGTTACAAGGTTTCGTGGTCCTGTACCAGTGTTTAACCTAGTCCCACTTTTGCAGGGCGCTTGATACAATTGGTTTAATTAAATTAAAACGAGTTGGGTTGGTGCTCTTTCATACGCATATTTTTATAAATTTAGCACGTTTTTTTTTAATTCTAAAATTTTTTCGCTCAGTGTATCTCGATTTAGGAGGCTAACGAAACGGAGAACGTCTCTGAGCTTAAAAATTGTATGGAGCTCTAAGTGACAAACTTTATGTGCGTTTATGAATAGTTGTCGATAAAATCAAAATTACTTGTTTTAAAATGGAAACCCCGTAGCGAGTGTCATGCATTAGTCACTTAAAAGTCTTGTACGGAAAAGTTACGTCTTAAATGACGTTGGGCTCCGTTTGTATGGAAGTCGTTCATGACTTTTTCATATAAATGATAATTTCGTCGTTGATGTCATCTGCATGACTTGGTCATGCAGTGATCATTAATGACATTCCAGCGACAATGTCCTGCAATAGACTTTCCATAAGTGACCGCTGCAAGACATTGTCTGTTATAAGTCTTTGATAGGAGTACACCTGCATGACATTGTCACCAGTGTCATTGTCAGCTATATGTCGTTTAGGATTCACAGCAAGTGCGACGATGTCACTAAATCCTCATTAGTGACGATGTCACCGGTGACCATTTTCGCTACTGGGAATTGTCGATGATTGTTTTTTTTTTATATGTTAAGCGTAGATGTATATGCGTGTAAAAAAAACACAGATGTTATTCAATTGGCTCTACTATCCGAGATATCTGGGCTCCCTCGACACGAACGTCATTGTTGACAGTTATAATTTCTAGAAAGTAAAGAATTTCGTTTACTTGAGAATCAACTTTGACACCGATAATAATGGGTACGTTCAGAAGGCGCAGGAGTTGAGCGCAACCGTTACAAAAAATTAGTGAATAGTGAGCGACGATATTCGTCTTCTGAACGGCTTGATACATAAGCTGCCAAATTCAAATGTCAAAGAATAAGAAGTACACACGCGTTCAGAAGGTGCATCCCCAGGGTGGCCAGATGCGCTGATTTAATCAGTACATGTGCTGATTGTTTTCTATTGTACTGATTTTTAAGAGCATGAAAACAGTACGCAAAATCTACTGACTTTTGGATTTGTACTGATTTTTACATTTAATAAATACTTTTGGAAATTAGTTTACATGTTCAAAACAATGGTTTTTGACAACTCATACGTGTGAGATTGAAAGCATTAATTAAACTTGAACAATTATTAAAAAGGTGTCAGCTTGCAATTGTTTCGCTTCCTAGGATTTCGCAAAATAACAAACTGTTTGGATTCAACCCAGCCCGATTTGCACTCACGATTTGCAGGTTTTACAGGATTTACAGGAAAAGCTGGTTTTGCCATAAATAAATCTTATGAAAGGTGGTGGTGAGTTAATCATATATTAAGTACACTGAGAAGATGACAATAAGAGATAATCTTTTGATTATAATTAAACATCCACTGAGAAATCGGCTGTCAGTATTTCAAACTTAAGGCGACTACTGCTACGGTGCAATGTAAGTTCTAAAAATTTAGAAAAGGTGCAAACTACCGACTCTTGGATATGATATATGTAGCTTCACTTTGATTTTTGATGTTCGACCACCTGTAATTTTACTTGCACATACACATTTAACACTATTAAATTTCATTCGTACTCTAAAATTCGTTTAGCGATAATTCGGTAATATACCTTTTAGTCAACATTTTAATGTGAATGTTGTATTTAATAAGCACACCAACTAAATATGTTTTAAATTTGTAGCTTAAAATATGCAAACAGATTCTGACTCGAGCTCGTCTTCTACTGAAACTGAATGGGCTACAATTTTTATTTTTTTTTCTCAATTTTTATAAACTGTCTGGAAAGTTTGATACTTCAACTCACATGTCTTTTGTAAGGAAAGAAAAAATTTTCAAAACCTGTCAATGCATTTTACTACTATTTTCCTGAACACAGCTGTACATATGTACATACGTAATACCTTTGATTTGTTTTAAAGTAATGAATTTTTGTATTGATAATACTATATGTATTTAAAAGTCTATTAGTTATTTTTTATTAAATTAATTCGCTGTTATTTGGTTGTTATATTGTTAATAATAAAAAATACGCTTAAAAATGAGCTGATTTTTATGGCTTTGTACTGATTTTTTATCCCAACTGTACTGAGTATGTCACTATAATATCTGGCCACCCTATGCATGCCAAACAATTTCCGAGCCATTGCTCCTTCTGAATGTGGCCATTTGTCAGCATCGAAATGCAATGCAGAATCACTCTTGCCAACAAGTGCTACTTTGGAATGTGTAGGCATTTCAGAAGCTTGGACAGTGACAACACCCGATGAGGCATCTCTTGGAGTATTCGATATTTTGGGGAAGATTTACCGGCCTTTACCCGTTTGCGACTTCCGAGTACCGCAGACGAGTGAACGATGAGCTGCATGAGCAAGACCAAGAACAAGTGGAGAAGAACTTTTCTTTACTTGGCATTTCCAATTTGCGTCAATGACACAGAATAGAAATAACTGGAGTGCTTTGTTGCAGTCACACCACTCCCGGTCCGTCCGTGGATAAAGTGGCATATTAGTTTTCAAATAATTTTTTACGTTAGGCCAAACATTCTCAATGGCGTTCCCCATGGGCGAGTACGGCGGAGGCGCAAAAGGGTGGGTGACCCATTACTGCCTACCACTTGTTCAAGTCCAGTATGGCAGCATTATCGCAGACCAACACTAAATCGCTAAATACGTTGCCCATGCTAGTCCATTTTTCAATAAGTCGCCGGACCCCTCATGCTCAGTACACCTGATGTACTGATGGCCCTTATCAGGTATACGTTGGGTCCCCTTGATGGTGGCAGCGTAAAAACTGCTAGTGTGCCAGACCGGGCGCGACCTTTTGTCCGAAGGCAAATTCATGTTGACAGGCATATTATGAACATTTTTAATAGTATAGTACAGCCTACCATCTAAAAAATTAGACATGGAAGACTTGGAAATTTCTTTTTATAAGCATACAAACACTTTTAGCATATGCAAGAAAAAATTATGATTATTTAAAGACTATTTTAGGGCCGGCCGCAGGATTTTTCTTTGGTTGGGTTTTATGTAAAGTCATTCGTAACAACCAAGAACGTCATTGTTTTATTTAGGGTATTCAGCATATTGTATTTAATTGTGGATATAATTTAGCAAAACTCAAAGAAAAGTCACATGCCATTCACCGAGGTATAGATAAAAAATCTTTTAATACTGAGTCAGCATTAACATCCAGTTCGCAATGAATATTGACAAAAGCTAGCCCATAGATTAAATACACTAGTTTACAAATTTTCAGTTTCAAACGAGTACCTCGAAAGGAAAGTGATTTCTAG